CCTCGAAACTGTCTGGGCATGCGTACACAATGTTAAAGTCCTATGTACGAGGGGCGTTTCGGGGGAGGGGGGGTCAATTTTTAGACAAATTTTTGCGTACGTACTTATTGAATGGCCCCTTATATGAAAGGATCACTAAAACGCTGCTTACATATTACTCCTGTAATGTTGAACAACACTATATTATACACTCATATCTGAGTAAGCAATCCGAAATGAGTCTCCAAAAAATGCTTTAATTTTATCATTCAATATTGCTTACGTGTAAAGTTTGTAAATATGATTATTATGAAAGCAAAGTTCTGTGTGCTTTCGTATAAATAATACAGATGTCTAAATTTATTTGACTATAATTGTGTTAGTATTTTATAGTTAATAAAGTTTGTTGACTATATCATATAGTCTATATGTAAGATTATTTTTGTTTTACAGAACCAATAAATTGCCAACGAAACTATACTAACGATACCGGTGTGATTACTATGAACACCTATGATGATTATTATGATCTTAATAATGGGTGTAACTGGTTTATATTTGCCCCTGATCACAATCATAGTATCGAAATGGGAGTGCTTGAGTTGGTTTACTCATATGGATTACTAATAATAACCGATGGAAATGGTAACCGGGACCAGGTTTATAATAATGTCACCAGGAGAGATTTAGTATATAAAACTTTTATCTCAAGTACTGAATATTTGAATATATTTAGTAATATTACTGGCAGTTTAAAAATTATTTATTCAACAATTGAACGAGGTTTGTAAATTATTAACTGATATATGTGTTACTATATTACTTATACTTTAATTTATGTAGGATATAATTGCGATGGTCACTATAACGATAGTACAGGTGATATAGAATATGTGACCTATGTACATAATTTTGTGGTCAATGAATGTGAATGGACTATAACTGTGGCTCAAAATCAAAGTATAAGACTGTATTTGAAAACATTTGAACCAATCGATGGGTTTATCACTATTTATGATGGTTTTGGTCAACAAAATAAGATAATTAGGGAATTAACACGAAATACAAATAAAACTACAATGACCCAACTCATTTCATCAAGTGACAATGTGATAATTAAAAGTAAATTTAAGGGTACTTTTCATTTGCATTACGAGACTATTAGATATGGTATGTAACTATGTTTAATGATTGTACTGTACAGATACTTAATTAATAAGATTGTAACCATTTTAATTTAGGTTGTGGTGGTTTATTAACTGAATCAACAGGCACAATTTATAGTCCTGGTTACCCGGATCACTATTACGAGAACATGCACTGCGTGTGGAATATAAGTGTCGCCCGGAATCGGAATATATTCTTGAGTTTCGATGACTTCGAGACCGAAATAAAGAGGGATTATCTCGAAGTGTTTGACTGTATTAGTGGTCATATTGTATGCAATTATTTGAATGCAAACTTCACCGGAAATAATATAACCAGCAAAGTACTGTCTAGTAATAATAATAAATTAATTATAATGTTTACAAGTGATGAGAGTAAAGTGCTTAAAGGGTTTAAGATATCATACAAAACACGATTGATGGGTAAATACTGTATAACCATATTTTTTACTCAAATCCTGTATAATTGAATACTTTAATAGTTTTATTTTTTAGGTAATGATCAGACTGTAATAATATCAACTCCTAATGCATTGCATAGTACGGTGACAAACGATGAAATTACTAGACAATGGAAATATAATGACATTATTTACTATAATAACACCGATTCAACAGTAATTGTGTTTCAGAGAGAAAATAATAAAATTAAAATTATTGACATTAATTCAACAAAACAACTGAATTTATATTCATTGACTGGTATTATAAGACCTAATGATATAGCAATGGATTATATCCACGGATTAGTCTATTGGATAGACAGTCAGTCGGAAACTATTAATGTGGCAAATATTAATTCAAAGTCTAATATTGAAACAATTATTCAATTAAATAACGACATATCAAGAGATTTACGAATTAATGTTATGAAAGGTGTACTCATTTGGAGTGAAATCGGAAATAAACTTCAATTAATTGAAAGTTATTTAGACGGAAGTAATCAAACAATTATTTACAACAATAATAAAAAGGCATATCATCTGACAGTCGACTATCAGACACAACGATATTATTTCATTGATATCACAGACTATTCACTATATTCTGTGGACTTTTTCGGCAAAAATGAGATATATTTTATGACTTCTGAGGACTTCTTTAAATCCTTGAATTCAATGTATGTCTTGAATAATGACTTATTTCTATCCAATAATCACATGATTTATAAAATACCGGAATTGGAGTCAAGAATAAGAAAAGCGGAGATTCTGTTCACAACACAGAACTACAGTCCCGTTGAAAACAAAGGTTTCTATGAATACAACAAAACTGTTATAAAAAGTTCAGAGATCTATGGTTTTATAATAACGAATCGTATATTACAACCAAACGCTACAAATAGATGTGAATCGAGTGAATGCCACACATTATGCCTACCGAGTGGTCAGTCTTATCGATGTATTGATCCTAGAAATGACCCACAAATACAAGACAATAATCGCAAAAGTCAAGTAATAGACACAAATGAAAATAAAAAACAAATTCAAATACTGTCGAAACAAATTACTGAAACAAACAAAAGCCTACAAACAATGACTAAACAAATGGCAGACAAACACCAGGAACTTCACGAATCAAACAATAAAACTCAACAACTTTTATATGATTTACACAATTATATTCACAACTTTAAAGTTATTAAAAATGATAGCAATTATAGTAATGAAAGCAATTTGAATGCATTTCAATACTCCAATCCATACCATACTGATAATCACTCGAACACTAGTAAAGCGTTTACTTTATTAGAAATATTTAATATTATATTAATAATTGTATTAATTATTATAACAATGGCTATAATGTATGTTTGAATTGATAAATAATGAAACTTATAAAAATTAAATAGTGTTTATAATTCATAGGTCTCGGCGCGTATTAACCATGATCAAGGACATGAATTTTACACCCATTTCTATACCATTAGTGGAGCAAAATTCTCGGGATTCACAAGATTTTGCAACTAATTTATAAATTTCAGATTAATATTTTTATTTTAAAATTTTAATTTAATATTTACTGTTTAATTAGTCTTATGGTTACCTGCTAATGAGTGCACAATAATAATTATACTAGTATATTTCGTTAAACAATAATTTATTAAGTTTATTGAAATCCAGTATAATATGTAATAATTATTTATTACTATTATTATAATAACTATTTTTAAAGAATAAATGTTTAAAATGTTCATTAAATAAATATCAAACTTTTTTAAATTAACAAGTGTACATTTTATAGAGATAACAAAGCAAATAAAAAACAAAAGTTGAGTATTTTAATTATTAACAAAACTTAAATATTTAAAAAATCTAATTAATGTTTGACAAAAACGTGAATCTTATTATCATGGTGATTGTGATTGGCTTTATCTTTGAGTTTACCCCAACATTTAGCTTTGAATATCCAAATGAATATGAATTTTCCAAATAATCCAAACCATATACCAAACAGCCCTCCCGTGTATAACATTATATCCGAGAAACACACCACCGGTTCCTCCCGATAGACAATCATTGGTTGACTTGAGTCCCAAACCAAAGACTTTTCTGAATACCGGTGCTCACGATCTTGCCAATACCACCATTCTGTGTCAATTTGTGTATCACTTGACACAACTCGTGAGTTGTAATCAATGTTTAGGCAATCATTTGGACAGTATATGTGACACTTTTGTGCAATCATTTTCATTTGACTATTCATTTCATTATTCGTAACATTATAGACACAAATATCTCTGATATAATTGTCGTCAAAATCCAATTCATGCAAATAGTTGTCTATTGTTAATGGGTTACACTTGTGTGCTTGGTATAAATAGTATCTCTTACACTTTCTCATACAATTCGTATGAGATATGGCACCGAATGGCTGTCCACTACCACTACTATAGTCATAATAACTACACGTGCCGTAGGGTTCAGATAAATAGCGTCTCAAAACTTTACTCAAAATGATTGTGTGATTAAAACCTGTCAAGAACTGGGAATTTAATAGGTCCTTCACATCGGGAACGGTATGCGAGTGAATGTATATGTTAGGCATAAACACATTACTACCTAGGTTGATTGTTAAAAATATATCATCATAAGTGTCTACAAGTGAATTGATATTAGATATAGTAATGTACTGTTGCCAACTATCCCAGGTCTGTGTAAAACTGTGTTTTACTGACTCAGATGTGAGACTCTTAAACCTATTGCCTATAAAAATCCTACTTTTGTTAAAGTGATTGTAAAATACAGAATCGGTTTTGGTTTCGCATTTTTTAGGGTCAATACAAAATTTAGTGTTAAATGGCTCGGGATGTAGTAATTGGCCATTACTTAATGAAAATGTAACAGCCGGGTAGTGTCTGTCCCATGAATTGCTTAGTACATCAATCCTAATGACTGACAGATAGCCCAAATAATCCATGTATATTTGGTATAGCTGGAATGCAAATATTACCGTTACAAGTCCGGTTACGGTATACTAAAATGAAAATAAAATCATTTGTAAATTAGTTATATTTAATTATATTTAGCATACCTTAATAATACAAATGCATTTATTTTGCGATATCCTCTCAACAAATGATTTCTTATTTTTGACATTTAATGCAAAGAAACAAATATATCGGAAAAGACCGCCAAATACGCCAATAATACGGATCCCACGCCACAGACATAATATGTTTGCGATATTCATGAGTAGTCCAAGTAATGTATTTTTCGAGAAATAATTTATATTAACATAGAAGTCATCATTGAATTGAATTTTTGTTTTTAATTATATTTAGCATACCTTAATAATACAAATGCATTTATTTTGCGATATCCTCTCAACAAATGATTTCTTGTTTTTGACATTTAATGCAAAGAAACAAATATATCGGAAAAGACCGCCAAATAAGCCAATAATACGGATCCCACGCCACAGACATAATATGTTTGCGATATTCATGAGTAGTCCAAGTAATGTATTTTTCGCAAAATAATTTATATTAACGTAGAAGTCATCATTGAATTGAATTTTTGTGATCATATCAGTTGGTAGTGACAGTCCATTAATAGAGGATTCAATAGCTTTATATCCGTATGTAGTCCTAAAACATGGGACTGGACATTTCGTAAGGCAGTATATGTTCAATCTATGATTAAGATCATTGCCCTTGTCTATATATGCATCCTGACAAAATGTTACATTTGGTTCATAATAGTGATCGTGTAGCTGAATTGTTAACAAGCTATTGTACATGGGAATACATCTAAATCGAATATAATATGAATGTTGATAGCAGTTATTCAGACAGTCAGATTGTGTATTGTAATTGTAATCATGGCATTGCGTGTCGTATGGTTTGGGTAGACTTCTGAATTCATTCCGGGTTAGTTTAATTATTACGCCATTATTTTCCTGATTTATAGGACCAGTGAACTCATAGATATTGTCAGTTATTTTCGGTAAAGACTTGTGTGAAGTAACAATGAATTGCCTTTTCATGACATTAATCCTATTATACTTGCCATCGATTCCGCGATTCTCGACAAAAGTTATTAAATTATTTTTGTCCACAGAATAACTATTAACTTGATTACTCTGAATATTATGACTATCCATAGACCTTGACATAAATGTATGACATTTGCCAAAAGGTGATAGTATTTTAATTACTTTCCACACGTCCTGACACAAGTGTGCACTTGTATAACAGGTAAATATTTTCGAGTAAAAGTTTAGCTCATTTTGTGTTGAGTTTATGATATTATCATAACTTTTAAGCTTAATTTTATTGAATTCTTGAGGATTACTAGCATTCAAATACATATTAATGAATCCCTCAATAATATCCTTGTCCGTTTCCTTATTCAGGTGTAAGTGTTTAGTATAATAATCCAGGTAATAATTCTTAATCTTTTCATTGTAAGGTTCAGTTGAGTTTGTGTTAATTGTATCGCGATTTAAAACATTGGTTTCAAAATAACTCTTTATGTATGGATCAAACAAAATGTCTTCAAACGTGTTATCATAGCATACAGTGATTGTAGGGATAGACTGATAGCCAATGTTACTATCATTGCCTTTGTTATAAATATCTAATGAGGTTTGAGTCGTAAATTGCAGATAATCTTCAGTTAACATATAGATCTGCATCAATACTATTAGGGATATTATGACCGCAATTATTTGTCCCAGGTATAGTTTCTTAAGCAATGCTTTAATTGACTCAAAAAAGTTTGTTACTTTTTCGCATATAAGACATTTCAGACAAGATGTCATACTAGCCCTCACAGCACTGGTATTTATGAAAGCAAACATAGACCATATGCCAAACAGACTTCCCAGTTGTAGCATTATATCAAACAAACAATACTTTGGGTGCGAACTGTAATGAGTTTCTTGATGAAT